CACTTCCTGCCACCACCTTGTCCGCCACCAGCCTGGTTCAGGCCACCACCATCTCTCACCCAGGGATCTGTGATAGCCTAACTGATCTCCTCGCCTCGCCCTCTGCACCCCATTCTCCACAGAGCAGCTGGAAGAATGCTTTAGAAATCACAGTCTGATCTTGGCAGCCCTCTTCTCAAAACCTCCCAGTGGCCCTCCGTTTCATCCATATAGTAACCGCTTTATGTCACCTGTCAGGCTCATTGTGTTTGTTGGCTTCCTGCTGCTTTTCTGGTCTGTCTCGTTACTTGCCACTCGCTTATTCTTTTCCAGGTATCTTGGTCTCCTTGCTTTCCTCAAACATATGGAGGCTCCCAGTTCAGGGCCATGGTGCTGGTTGGCCTGGAATGTTCTTCCCCCAGATATTTACACAGCTTATTCCCTCCATGCAGTCAGGCCCCCCGCTCCAGTGACACCTGTCAGTGAGGTTTCTCTTACTTCTTTGCAACACTGCCTCCCTTCCTTTCCTGCTTAGTTTTTCCTCTACAGCTCATCACCATCAAACGTAGTTTATACTTTAATTGTTGTCAGTGTCCTACCACTGAAATGTTAGCTTCATAAGAGTAGAGATTCTTTTTTCCCGTTCACCGATGAATCAGTTTCTTAGAAACTGGCATACAGTAGGTAAAAATATTTGTTTAATGAATATAGACAACCTTATATTCTTAGCTCAGTATTCTAGGGTAACCGTGCGTGACATAAAATGACAGCCACATTAAAATTGTTCTGGATGGCAGTTTGGAGGTCTAGTGCTAGCATCCTGCGTCTAGATGAGCTTTTCCCCCCAAACTAGTGCTTTTTGGAGCTTTAGCTCCCTCTTTTTTTTACCTTCCTGATGTTCCTACTTAAAAGGATTCCCTAGTTTATTCAGTTTAAGAAATCACATCAGTTATCATCCTCTTAGGAATTCACAACATACATTAGCATATCAAAGGCCATGCATACTTTTTTGAATTAAAGAAATCTTTAACTCAGGGTTTTCCTTACTTAATTGATGATCGAATTGAAGATACCAGCCATTGTAAGATGCATTCCAATTTCAGACATGTTAAACTATAAAAGAAGGCTTAAACTAATGAAATATACTGTAATGGTATCCTGAAACATATATTTGGGAACTGAAATTTATTCTAAGGGGTTATCAATATACAGACCTAAATATTAATAAAAGCTTAGTAACAGGCTATTTATAATGATGCTATTTCTTGTTCTGATATTACGTATAACACTTTTTCAAACAGCTGATATGAATTCTTCAAAATCCGTGGGCAGCGATGCACCCTGTGTTGTCAAAGTGGTAAGAAAATATTTGAGCTTTTTTTTTTTTTCTTTTTTGTTGATTTAGTGTAGTACTGTATTTATTTTGTAAAACATCCTTTTTGATAACTAAAACCGTAAGGTATTACATTATAATAATATTTCATAAATATTTAATGAGATACAAAAGCAGCTTTATAGTTTTAAATAATTTGAGTTCAAAAAGGCCGTCTCCTGCCTTTTGATTTAGACTGGCATTGGTATTTCGGGAAAAATGAAAGAAAGCACAGAGGTATGCAGATGTGGAATGAAAATGTTCAGCCCATTCTGTTTATTTCAGCTATATTAACAGCAGATGAGATGCTTCTTGTAGTTACATCCTGTAAGACTACTTCTTTACTGAAATTTTGTTGTATTTTATCTTTCATTTGTTTGTGAACTTCTACTTGGTCAATTTTCTTCTCTTTATTTCCAATTTTCTTCCCTTCCTTTTCCAGTTTAGTAAATAAATTATATATTTCATTGTGATCACTTTGGAACTTCTTTGGTTATACTAATATTGAAATTACTTTGAAATGAATAAGAGTTGACAGCATCCACCTGACATAAGCGTACTTGGATAGCCAGGTCAGTTTATGTATTGATACACTAAAAGACATTTTAATGACTATTTTTTTTTGTTATCCGTGTATTATGTGTTGTTTTGCTCGCCAACATTTGTAACTCCGCTCTTGAGTTCTTTAATACATGTGTAGAATGTGTCTGTTAAACAGAAGAGGTAACGGGTCTGTTTTGGGCAAATCACCACCACGTCTCTCACGCTTCCTTCTTTCCCCCATAGGCTACAGAACTCTGGAATTAGAATCACCCCACGGTTTTTTGGTTTGATTTGTTTTTTATTTTACTCACTTTTCAAAAAGGAATATATTTGATTACCTGTGAGTTAACTCTTGGATCCGAATTGTTTTTGTGATTGTGTCTGACATTTTTTTATTCAGGCATAGTTTTTACAAGGAAATACATGGATATTAAGTAAACAGTTTGGATACTTTTTTGACAAGTACACATACCCGTGTAACTGCCACCCCGATTAAAACATAGGACATTTCCGTTACCCCACAAAGATTCCCCGTGTCCTCGTCTGCTCAAACCCTGACTCCCTCACCGTTGGCGGCAGCCTCTTGTCTGAGTTTTCCTTGCTGCGCACGGTTGTTCATTCTACAGTGGCATGTGGTGGCTCTCTGCAGCATGTCCTGTCTCGTCTCTGATCCTTGTGCTCAGCACTGCGTCGTCGAGGCTCATGCGCACCGATGGCGTCCCAGCTGTCTGCTCAGTCTTAACCGCTCAGTGGTGCACATTGCAGTTTGCCTCCACTCCCTGTCGGTAGACCTTTGCATGGGTCCCACAGTTTGTTACGATAAAGCTTCTGTAGACATTCTCGTACAGCGTTTTGACGGATGGAGGTTTTTATTCTTTTGGGTAAATGCCTAGAAATAGAATTGCTGGCTTATAGGGGCGGGCAGTATATATTTAAATTTTAAAGAAAGCACAGACAGATTTCCACCAAAGTGGCTGTGCGACTTGACACATGCACCTGTGACGTCCCGAGCGTCCCGGGCGTGCCATGGCCGCTTCGGCGCCAGGGGTTGTCCGGCCTGGTGTGTTATGTAGCCATGACATTGGGAGCGTGGCGGTGGCTCCCAGTTTTGGTTTACAGTTACCCGAAGACTGATTTCGAGCACTTTCTCATTGTACTTTTTGGCCACGCGTACATTTTCCTTTGTGGGATACCTCCTCAGGCTTTTGACAATCCTTCCCCCCTTTTTTTAGATAACAAGATTGTTTTGCTTTTCATGATTGAGTAGTAAGAGAGGTGTTCTGGTTATAAGTCCCTTGTCAGATATATGTGTTGTAAATATTTTCTCCCAGTCTGTAGTTTGGCTACTTTCTTAATGCTTTTTCGGCATCTGTTGAGATGGATCAAAGGACTCTTCTCCCTTTATTCAGTTAATGTGGCAATTATATTGATTGACATTTGAGTGTTGAACCAACTTAGTATTCTTAACATACACTTCACTTAGTTATGGCGTATCGCGCTTTTTATGTGATGTTGGAATTGACCTGCTAATAATACTTTGTAAAGGATTTTTACATGTTTGTTCATGAGGGATATTGGTCTTTAATTTTTCTCTAATATTTCTATATTAAAAAAATTCTAATCTGGTTCGGTTTTGGTGTCAGGGTTGTTGGAGCGCTGCGTTTGGTCTCCCCACTTCCCCCCACAGTACCCCAGTGCCTCTGTGAGGAAAGCCGGGGCTGTCATGGGGCTCGCTTCGCTTGTTTCCTAGCTTTAGAGGCCACTGTTCTATGCTGCCTATTTTGTCTAATGTCTGAAAACAGTGATTTCCTACATTTCGTCCAATTTTTATACTTCTTTACAGTGGGAGGGCAAATTGGGTCCCAGTTACTCCATCACACCCATAAGTGGAAGTAAAATCGATAACTTTGAACTTTGTGTCAGTGATGTGTTTCTCTGCCATTTCACTTCTCTTCATGTCCTTTGATTCTAGAATTTTCTTCTTTCTCATTTGTTGAATAACATTCTTTTTTAAATTATCAGTTTGTTGCTATATCAGAGGAACGAAAATTCTTCCCATTAAGTGGGGCCATTTGCATGGAATTTCAGAATATTATCTGCATTTGGCTTTGACACAACAAATTAAAATATTAATATATATGGGTGAGATTAGTTTCTTCTTAGGCTCTTTAAAAAGTTTCCACCATGAGAAGAAAGTAAGGCCCCTTATGACTTCTCATCATCTTGAGGTTCAAAAAACGTGGTTACCTCTGACCGCTTTGCAGTTGGTTACACCTGCCCAGTCGTTTCCAGGTCTTGGGGGGCAGCTGCGCCGGCGCCATGCCTGAGAGGTCGGACTGGTGTGGAACCATGTCTCTCTTCTTCTGTGGAACCTGAGCTGCTTTAAATTGAGTTTTAGTTTAGAATTATGATATCCTTTATTATGGGTAACTTTAAGTAGTTTAGTTGTCATTAGATGTAACTTAACTTTTATTACCTTTTTTGCTTACAGAGTTATGCAAAAAAAGTGTGTGGTAACAGGTATTGCCTAACTGCTTAAGGTAGCAAATTACTTTGCATTTCTAAGTTTAAAGCCATTTGTTTTCAAACCTAGTTCAGGACTCTGCCTCTCCTGTTTCTTAATTTGGTCCTGTTTCCATTAGCCTATATTACTCCTTCTCGTTGTAATTAGGACAGTGATAAATATTCAGTTGATTTCTCTTTTGCATTTAATATTTCAGTAACATTCTCAGTGTCGTAGTTTGCGGTCCTGGAAGAATGCCATAAACAAAATAATATTGCTTTCTCTTTCTTCTCTAAGGAAGAGTTTAGTAACTGCTGTTTGCTCATTTCTTCTCTGATACCTGTCTCTTCTGAACCCCTTTAATCTGCAGCATTCATTCTATATCCATTTATTTTATAATTTCACGTGCTAATATCCTCATGTCATTAGTTGATTTTAGTTTTTTTATGTGTTTATCTCCCTAACTAGATGTCGAGTTAGTTCATGATAAGGACTTTATTTTAAATTTTGTTTTCTGCATGCTATCCTTAAATGCCTGTTTTATTCTTTTGAAAACTTTTTAGCCATAATTCTCACAACCTTTTAACTTTAATGCCACCCACTTCCATTACTTGGCTAGCCTTTTAAAGTGGGCCCATTCATAATCTGCCTTCATTTGTGGTATGCTATGCCAGAATTCTGTCCATTCCTGTTCTATAATTCTTTTATTCTCAGAGCTTTATAATATTAAAAATTGAAATGGCTCATCAAACATAAACATATAAAATGAGTATCAGATCTTTCCAGTATTAAAATCTGAACTATTTATGAACATTTGTCATATAAAACATTAAGGGCTATTAAAAATCATGTTTTCAAAGAACAGGTACTACTCTTTGGGGGAATTTCATAATTAATTACTAAATAAAAAGCACGATACAAAACTACAGAGTAGAGATAGTTTTATAAAATCACTATGTATGTGAAGAAAATGTCAAAGTATTTCCAAGTTTTCTATAAAATGAGCACATATTTTATCTTTAGAGGAGAAAACCTCAGCAAACGGTAAGAAATAATCAGAGGCAGATTGCTTTTTAATGTGACATTAGATTTGATAAGGAAGCAGCATAGCGAGCAGTGGCTCCTGGCCCCACTTGGGCAGCGTAATCGGAATCTGGACTTGTGACCTGGTGGCGGGTGTCTGGTGAAGCCGCCTGGAGAGCTCCGGGTGGAGCCTGGCGCACAGGCCGCCGTGGTTGCTTTCGGCTGACCACAGATGCGTGTGTGTGTTTGTCTTCGTTTGGGGTCCTTGTGTTGGCGTGGGAGCTTGTAGGTACCCCGTGCTTCTGGTGGGGCTTCCATCTTCGTGTCAAAAATGTTGGTAGCTGCTCATATGCATACCTGCTCTATGAAAGGGCTCCAAATAGTTAACCCACAAATTTTTTACAGTTGGCTTTGAAATGAAGCTAAGACATAGATATTTAATATAGGTATTTAGGTAAATACTAAATATATTCTCTCCTGTCAAATGAATGTGCCTGATTTTGTTTAGGGTCTTACCCCTTATTGACTTATGGGGCAGCTTTGGAGTTGTGGCACTGGGACACCGGGGGTGGCAGCCTTGTGCTCTCCGTCTCTAGATAACTGAGAGACACTGTGTGTATTTTATTTGCGCAGAGAGCAATGGTAAATTGGTAATAATAAGTTGGATAATGCAAGGAGAAAAATTTCTCTTTGAGGTTTTTTGTTTACAGACTTTATAATAATTCTTTCAATTATACTTAGCCTTTGTCGTCATGTCAATGAGCTAATAGCAGAACTGGAGGGGTAGAAGTCAGGCTTGTGGATCTTGTGTCCTAATAGTTCTTTATGTCATGGTCACTTTCCTTATGAACTTATTAAACCTGTATTTCGAAGTGCTGTGGAAAGAAGTTTGCAGACTGATGTTTACGTCCCCTCACTGATGTTATGAGAAGTGACCTGAATTTTCAATTCAGACATCATCATTTTTTGGTAGGAAGGAGAAACTTTATACAGCTTCATTTTTAAATGGCAGCCAGTTGCTTTTAGATGGTGCCATTGAAATGTATCACATTTTAATTTTTTTTCTGTTGTCATCTTCATTTTGACACTTAAAAGTCTTAAAGAAACGTTTAGTGATATTCTAGTTAAAATGTCAGTCCTGATTTCTTTTCTAAATCTTGGCTATTATAGCGTTGGCAAAGTATTTTAGATTTGAAATATGTTAATAAAATTTTAGTTATGAGTTAAGGTAGTTTCTTCAGAAATAGCTAGCTTTGGCTAGAGTGCAATGCCAAGGAAGTAGCTCCTTTAGTTTGTTATAATGGAGTCTTGCTGTATTGGAAAAAGTATGGTATGAGCTCAGAGAGCCTTCAGTGTAGTGGGGCTCTCATTATAATAGCCTGATTTATAGGTTGATTCTCATTATTATAAGTTTAATGAATTATTGCCTGACGGAAAGCTTGAAAATTGAAGTTGATATGACATAGGTCAAAACTGAATAAATCAGAATTTTATACTGATGCGTATTAAGCCAGAATTTGTCTTAGGAAAACCCCTTTTGAACCCGAATTATATTAATGAGCTAGTCTAAAAGTTGGCCTTTGGAGAGTAACTTTATCAAAATTCCTTCTTGTGAATTTCCATTTCTTCATGTCTTTCACTGAGTCCCTGACCCCGGCTGAACGCCTGTTCTCAGGCTGCAGGCTTTGAACATGCACACGTGTCTGTGTAGCTACCACTGTTGCCAGGAAAGGAGCCACAGGGCACAGCAAAAATCAAGGTGCCCAGTCTGCAAATTAGGGGTTTGGTGCTCACACGCACCTTAGTGTATTGGTTAGTTTCTACTTATTAAGCAGTGTTGACGTGCCAAACCCTAGAGTTCCAATCTCTTCCAAGACCGGGCTGAAAAGTAGACTTACCTGTAACACACAGGCCTGCTTACTGTCAGGTTCTGATCCAAGTGTCATATGTGTTGCCCATTTGCTGTCGAACGCTCTGTCTTAACTAGGTCCTGCCTTACTCTGCAGGTTGCTTCTCAGTTTTCCTTTAGGTACTTTAACTTGGGATTCCTATTTTTTGAATTCCAAGGTATCTGAGATTTTAGGACTGCACGTATATAGTGGTTATATTTAAACCTCAAGGAGGAAAATTAACTTCTATGACAGTGAGGAAATTGTGAATAAAAAACATTTTAAAAAGGACATATTTTATGCATTTGCAAAAGGCATCTTCAGTCGTTGAAAACTATTTATTTTCACGAATATTTTCTCAGTTAAGTAGTGGCCCTCATTTATCACTTCTGATATTCTACTGATACTTGAACTACAGCTATATAGATATTCTGTTTAAAAATTTCCTCATTCTTCCTGAAAGAAAAGCAATTCTAAAATGAGTTGAAAAATGTTAGTTTTTTGATTTGCAGTTTTCGATGCTTTTCAAAAAAATCTTTTGAAAATTCTCAATAAACAAGATTCTCAATAAACAAGACAACACAGAATATCAAACATTGAATAAATACTAACTAATTTTAATCAGACTATTTGAAAAGGTGCATGAAATTATAAGCTCTTTCCAACCTCATATTTATTTAACAAGACAACTCCTAACGGGCTGATATTTCTTGTTTGACAAATACCTTTTTGTGAGTATATAGCTCTTTGCAAATAATTTTAGTTGTTAATGTCCCTTAAAATGTGAAACGACTAGTCCAGTAAAATTGGTGGGAAACAATTGTTATCGAGCTCCATTTTCCCCTTGATTCTAAGCTGTGTGGGAAGTAGATTGTGCGCCTCCTTAGTCTGAGACGCGTGGGAGTCGGTGTCAGGCAGGAAAGGATGCAGTTAAACGGGCAGCACTTGCTTCCTCTGGAGCTCCAGAACCCTCTGTGGTACGTTCGGTTTCTGCCAGTCCTGATCAGCTGTGTATAACTGTAATGAGAAACGGGAAAGCAGTGGGATTTTGCCACGGATTGGTTAAATCAAGTATTGAAATTTTATTAAATCTCAAAAATACCTTGTAGCCGCTTGGTGAAATGGTTAACATGGTTGCTGGTTTTTGCTTAATAAAGATAAAAGTAAGTTTAAAGGTTTTTCTTAAACTCCAGCAAAGACTGAGCTGTTCATCTAATGTTATATAATTTATCACTTATAAAATTGGAACTGGAGAGAAATATAAGACTTACAGACTATTCTGAGAATACTGAAAATATTTCTAAAGGGTTTGACTTCAACATAGTTATAAACTTAAGTATCAAACCTTCATCGTTTGGAAAGAAAAATTGATTTATTAGCTTTTATTGAAGGTTCACTGAAAATAACTCAGTAATTTTAACTACTGCTAGTACTAATTAACTCCTATTTTCAAGGAACCCAGTGACAATGGACCTCTTTTTACTGAATTAAAGTTCTACCAGCGAGCTGCCAAACCAGAGCAAAGTAAGAAATACAACACATTATGCTTTTAACGTGACCACTGTTCGTTGTGTTTTTGGTTTAAGACAAGACTAAAACATTGGATCCTATATTATGGTTCTTTATATTTTACTTTATAAATGTATCCTATTTAAATGAGATTTGTATAAAAGAATTTTGATATTTTAATGGGTTTATTGTAAGATTTCATGTGTATCTATATGTAGAATAAAGTTAATAAACAAATTATGATTTAGGAAATGTTGTTAAAAGTTGAGAAATCTAATCCATGAGTATGGCTCAAGGATCTCCAAATCTTTTTGAGTATTTTTTAAACTCTGGAGAACATAACTTGGGGTGGGGGTGGGGACGGGGGTGGAGGTGCCAGAATTGATGAACTGGAACAGACTATCCAGGTGGAGAGCAGGGCCTCTTCTGCCTCCTTGGGCCCTTTCTGTTCCCCTCCTCTCCCCTCCCCTCCCCACTCCTCCTCACCCCTCTGAGAATCCAGCGAGTCTCCTTGTCAGAGAGGCTTGACGGTCTCTCCAGGAAGCCTCCCATCTTTCCTAGAGCTTGATTTCCTAGTTGGGGACTTTAGAATGAGGTAAAAAACTTTGAGATTGGGGTAATTGAAAAGTCTTTCTAAGGAAGCAAGTAAACATTTACATAATTAAGGCTATAAATTGCAACCACAGTACTGTGGTTTGATTTTTTTAAGAATGTTTTTTGCAGATTTTTAATTGTAAAGACAATGTTTAGGGCAGGATAAAATATTATTGTGGGTTAATAAAAATGCTTTGAATTACTTTTTATCTGTTATAATGTACTGCTTACTTTTTTATGAATAAATAAAAGCGAATCTTATTATAGGTATAAGTACATTTTACTCTTAATGATTTAAAAGATTATTTACGGCAACAGAATCAAAATCACAAGCATCTGTTTTAATTTGTAGTTCAGAAATGGATTCGTACCCATAAACTGAAGTACCTGGGTGTTCCTAAATATTGGGGGTCTGGTCTACACGATAAAAATGGAAAAAGGTAAAAATATACATGTTTGTTTCTCTCCTCCCTTTTCTGAGCAGTCACTGTAGTCGGTTTAGTTGAGAATCTCTCCCTGAGCACCTGCAGTGCTGCTGGGCCTCCTCTGGGCTGAGCGGGGGTGTGACAGGTGAGCAAGGGGTTAGTGCTGCCCTCTGCTTCCCACAGGACAGGTTGTGACTCGATGTCAGAAATGGCAGCGCCTCTCGCGGGGGGCGGGACTTGTACCCGCAGCCATGGGCTGCAGCCCAGCTGACAAGTAGGAACAGAGCCACGGCAGCGCCTCTCGCGGGGGTCGGGGGGGGACTTGTACCCGCAGCCACGGGCTGCAGCCCAGCTGACAAGTAGGAACAGAGCCAGATGCGTCCTGCAAACAAACAAAAAACTCCACATCCCTTATGTAGAAGGAAGCCCTTCGGCTTCAGCTGGGTCTTTCGTGTTGGATGTGTCATCTGCCCCCCGCAGCGTCCTGCCCTTTGTGAGGTTTCAGTCCGGCTAGGAGGGAAGACTAGCACGAAACGTGTATGAGACAGAACAGTTACATCAGAATTGTGTGATTCTGACTTTCGTGGGTCTTAGGAGTTTGGAAAATGGTGAGGATGTTATTGGCGTAGTTGAGTAGGAGAAAACCTCTGGTAGATTGATGTATAATCGATACCTTTTCAATAGTTGAGTGGCAATGTGTGGAGTTAGGCTGGTTGCTGAGCTTTGAAGTTTGGGATTTGTGGGATTTGAATGCTTTCACCAGCAAATAAAGGAAACTTTGGTTCAGCTCGTAGGTAACTAGCACGGGCCCAGGTCCCTTTACCTTGCCCTTTGTCCCCCTTGTCTCAGCTGTGTTCTCTATCAGCCCCGGACTGCGTGGCCTTGAGGTGGCTGCCCTAGTTGGTGGCTTCTCATGCACACAGTACTCCCCAGGAGAAGATGACTTCCGGTGGCTGTCACTTTCCTGGAGAGAATCCCTTGGCTTGGCGTCTTGTGGCAGACTGACCTCTGTCCTGTTTTTCAGTCCGAGTTTGATGAGTTCATTTTGAAACAGTCACCGGCCAGGGCCGAGTGGTCATGGCGGTTGGCCCGGGCACGTGTTGGCTGCATGGAGGAGGACAGAATGCGTGAGCCAAACTGGCTTGGTGAGAGAGGAGAGAGAGCTGGGCGCGGTGTGGGCGGGCAGCCGCCTGGGCCCTGGCAGGCCTCGTCGTGGAGCCACGTGTCCCCCAGGGAGAGTGGAGACTCCCGGAAGTGATGCGCAGTGTCTGTCACATGTGTTTTGCTGGAACAAGGTTCTATATTTTATGAAATTTTCTGGAGAAATAGTATAGATCAAGGACTGAGGAAGTAATTTAAGAGCAAGGCTTCTAGAGCCAGACTGCCTGGTCCGTCTGCGTTTGGTCCCTGAAGACGTGTGCCTGGGTGAGTGATTCCTTTTTTGCCTTGTTTTTCTCATCTGTGAAATGAAGTAACAGCTGCTCAGTAAGAGTGATTAAAGGTAAAGCTCTCGGTAAATGTGTAAAACCCATGTTAGCTTTTACTCTCAGAGGAGTTTGTCATCCCTTGAATGTGAACAGCTCCTGGTTCAGAGAATCACCGAGGAGGGAGATGCGGACGCAGGGCAGGGCAGGCCTTGGCCCGCGTGCGGCCTGTCCGCCACCCTTCCTTAGCAAGCGAAGGGCACGTGTGTGAAGGAGAGAAGGAGGTGAACTTGGAGACTGAGGCGGATCTCGAAGACC